TCGCAGCGGAAAACGTCATACCTAACATCGACTAGTTCACTATTACTTATCTCCTCTCGTAGCCACGTCTCTGTTAGAATAATAATATCATAGTTATGTGACAGAATGTTCATGTAGACAGTGTTTAACTTGGTTCGTACGCCTCGGCAATTTTGATAATAAATAGATAATGTAGTACTAGCCATAGCTGCAGAATTTATTGTGAATAAATATTAGGTAATTGAAGTATTTTATATTTGAAAAATAAGTTTCCTTGTTTTGTTTGTTATTTAATTTTATTGTATTGTTGGCCGTGCGAAATGAACATATATTGAATTGTTGTAATAATAAAAATAATAGTAAGAAATAGCTTCCTAGTTTATTATGGTACAATGTAGATAATTTAAAACTTCTTTGATTTCTTAGGTAATTGAAGCGGTAGCTACTTGTGTTCCACGATCTGTTACAAAATAAGTTGTTTTTTATTTTGGTAAAAATGAAATATAGGTATTCTTTACATATAAATAAGCGAATGTAACTTATATTATGAGGTGTCCATGTAAACTTAACATAAGTTATATACTCAAATTTATTTGATCTTCTCGATATCTTGGTTTGAGCGAATAGCAATAACCGGGGAGGTGTCAGCTTTCCGTGCAAGAATGACTCCGTGCTTGACCCACACATACCTGAAGTCGTTTTTTTTCGCAGCGTCTCGAGATTGACGAAATAAAATTTTGTTATTGAGTGTCAGGTGTTCATTCACATACACTGGCATCGGAGATCCAGTTATAGACAGCATGGTTGTGTTCAGTCCTTTTGTTGCGCGCGCTGCTGAGATGATATTATCACGTAGAATCCTCGAGGTGAATTTAACGATTATATTTTTAGGTCGCGTGTTTTTTTGGTCAGCGTGCGGAACTCGATGGACGGCCACAACATCGGCTGCCCTAATGGGTTGTTTGATAGCATTTCCCAAGTTTTCTACAATTTGAATTAAATTCTCGCCACGGCGGTCTTGAATATTAGATATCTCTAAATTACACTGACGGGCCTGTTGTTCCATGGAGGAAATTTTGTTTTCCATTGCGGCCATTTGAATCGTAAGGTCGGAGGTGTGTGTAACTTGGTCTTCTAGGATCTTTAAACGAGTTTCGAAGCCATCTTGTCTTTCTGATAAGAAATTTAATGATTTTTCTATTTCTGATAACCGATCATTGGTCACACCTAAGGACTTTTTGATATTGATGTTGTCATTTTGTAGTTTTGTCATATTATTATTAATATTTGTTAGTGCCGAGGTAATTTTAGCTAATTCAGTGCTGACCGTTATTGACAATCTCTCGATACATTCTATGGTTTGCGCTTCATCACTATCGGGTTGTTTACGTTTTCGAATGTTCACAAAACCGATGTCTAATGTTGCGGGTATATCCGTGTCGGATGCACATTTGCCCGGCGGTGTTCGCTGCAGCGACATTATTAGTTACTAAGACTCACGTGAATTTGTATAGGTGCGACGGAGAAGAACGCGCCGCACTGCCGGCCCTTAATTAGTGTTCACGAGGGAGACGCAAGATGTCTTTGTGGTTTCAGCTCGGTACCTCGATCGCTTGTTTACAACTTAAAAATATCGACACTACCACTCAGAATGATTGCCGAATGACGAATTATACACTATATTACTAAATAATATATAAAACTAAAGAAACTCATTTAATATTTCTCTTGAAATCAATATTTCATAGTATGATAACATATTTTCGTTTTTCGTTGTTTTAAGATAGCCGACAGAGTATATAAATCGTTAGTTATGTTTATATCCTCTTTGGTTTTATAACTCCCCCCAGTTTAACAAGTTAAAAACAACGTAAATTAAATATTTTTAATTTCATTATTCACTTAACAAGATTTAATTGTTATTTTTTTTAGTTTAATTACTTTTGACCAATTGATTAATTTTAAAGATATGATATATTTTATTTTATTGTAGAGCAGAAAGTATAGAGCAAATCAATGAGTGAGATAGATATAAATTTAAGAGCGAGATGGGGATTCTGCGTTACCGTATTTTTAATGATATTGTCAACTGTCACAAGAGTTGATTATAATTTTTTTTTCTCTGTATGTAAATAAATAAAAAAAATGTAGACACAATGGGGATGTTTCCTAATGTTACAAATCCAAATAAAGTTATGTTTAATATTTTAAAGACAGCATTTTATAACATATAATAATA